AAACTCTTTTTGCGTCATTTTTACGGCATTTTTTGCTGAATTAATCGATTTTAATGGTACTTGCTTCAAACAATATTTACGAGGTGCAACAAATGTTCACCACAGAATTCCCTTGTAGCCTATTCGATTTCTTCGCTCATGTATTGTAATGTCAGCCGTTGTGAGTACTATGTAATCTACGGTTCCTGTGACGTTAATCAGCGCCATTGTCAGTTCGGTCGATTTTGCGTTAAACAAAGGCAGAAATTTTCTTTTAAAGTCCGAACCTAAAGTTTGCAAGTTGAGTTCACTTGAACAAAAGGAAGAAGCATCGATTACATCAGTAACATATCCAACAACTTCAGTTGTTCATTTGAAGTGGCTGTGATAAATTTTTTACGTCATTGTTCTTTGTTTTTAGGGCATTTATAATGCATTTCAAGAGTTTTATTAATTATTTTTTGGCAATGTTGTAGGTCATCAAAATCCGCCCCCTAGCAGTCATAGCCTCTCGCACCCCTGCAGCCATGCAAGTCTGGGTCTTCCTCATTTTATTCTGTCGACACCCATTGCAAGACTTGTTTTGGCCATCTTTTGTCTGTCATTCGCATAACATGACCATAGGAAACAATTTGTTTTTTCTCTATTTCGTCAAGGATAGATTTCTTTTTACCAATTTTCTTTCGTAGGGGCCGGCCATAAATTACGTAACGCAGGTTTGGTGGTTTTCAATACCTTCTCTCTCCCTTGTCACGTGCTTGAACCCCCTGAATAATTACGTAACGCTTGCGACCACCCCCCGCCCTTGAAAATAAATTAATGCACGGTAAAAATAATTTGTATTTATTTTACTTGCGTTGTATATTAAAGTAAATTAATGATAATTAAAATAGAAATTAATTGGCGATGCTGGCTGCACCTAACAAAAAGATTGGGGCAAGTTGTGGGTGAAGGAAGAATGCTTGGGCGAGAATGGTTGATCACATGCTCTAACTTGTGTACCCGACGTGTATATCATCTTGTGTACAAGCCATCGTGGATGATGCAAGAGCCGGTGTCTAATTTAAATTGATTCTAGAATATACTTCAAATAAGTTTTAAATATTTTCATCGTAAATTTACAGTTAAAAAAAAAAGGTTGAAAAAATATTCCCATTCATTGTAACAATTGACAGCAAATAACTTACGTTTGTTACGTTTATTGACGTATTAAGAACTTAATTGGTCAATATTTCAATGTTTTAGTACAATTCAAAAAAGAATTATTTGAGCACATGTCAAGAAATGTAAAAAAAATAAATATTAATGTTACAAAACACTTAACTCATACCCCCTTCCCCTGTGTAACACTACCTCAGATCCTCTCCCCCCTTCTTTAGCGTTCCGTAATTCTACATGTAACAGCAACATCTACGTCAGTAGACCATTTCATGGGTCAACAGCTTCTTTCTTGTTCTTTTATGAACCTCCCAAACTGTTCGTTGTAACACTCTTGATTAGTATGGAGTAAAGCTGTCTTTTAGTTGTTTGTGATGCTTTTGTTCTAAAAGACAGAGTATATATTTTGTGTCACTTTACTCCCCAGGCTTATTTGCCTCTCAATTTCTTCTTGGCCATTTCCCTTTTTTGTTAAAAAGTATACACCAATATTTATATTTGTTTACTCCTTTCATTTTTCCTCCATTTCTCCGGAAGTTTTTTTATCTCATTGTTCCCAGCTGTCATGAATTCAGATTTGTCCATGTTACTAGTAAGTTCTGCTTTTAAAAAGTATCCATCGAGTTTACGGATCATGAAACTCGGATTGTTCACATCTTTTATAAATACTACAGAGTCATGGGCAAAATATGAATATAATTTATCCTCTCTTATCATCAGTCCCATTATTCTGCATGGTTTCTTCCATTGCTGTAAAATTTGATGCAAATATATTTTAAACAGAAACTTTATTATTTAACAGAAGTGAAAATAAACTCACAATAATGTGCAATTTCAAAAATGTTAGGACATTTTCTAATTTTTTCCTTTACAGATGGCGTTTAGGTTTTCTTCATCAGTCCATTAAGCACTATTGTGCTGTTTTTCTTTTTTATTATTATTATTATTATTTTATTTTTTATTTTTTCACTGATGTAATTTTTATGAAATATCTCTCCCCTCATTAATATTTACATTACCGGCCATTCATATACTTTACTGCATTTCTAAATGGAAGTGCTTCAAATTATTTCCAATGAAGTTTCTTTAAAACTCAAAATTCTTCTTTAATTATTAGATCAAAATTGCACATTTTCAGAAACGCTCCCACAATATGTTCTTGAAAACTGCTCCACTCTTTTAACGAAAATTTGCATTACAGGATTTTACTTTTCTTTAAAATTATTTAAGTCACACTTCAGTTCTATCTTTAGGTACCAAGAAATGGCGAAAATGCAGAAAAAGTGATCTTTTGATAGCAATAGATGGCAGGTGAGAAGGGGGGGGGGACCAAAAAGCAAGTAATTATAAAACTAACTTGTACGAGAAAGTTGAGTAGTTTGTAGCACACCTAGTTAACTTTTAATTTGATGATGTGATTAGATGATGGGTAAGCAAATTGAGAACAAATTTTATTGGAAACATACTCATGGGTACATTGCTTTTTGCAAATATTAAATAAAAAATATCCACCTCTAAAACCAAAGACCTGGAATTTAAAACTATTCTTCTTCTTTGAGCAAAGATTAAAATTATTAACAAAATAATTGAACAAGTTCAAACTTTTAATTACCTGGAATAAAACAACCTATGATCATTCTAAAGACCAAAAGTACAAACTCTTGGAGCTCCTACAGCTGCTGCGTAGAATGAAGGAAATTGATGAGGAAATTAAGAAGAGAGACTGTTTTTAAATTCAACAAGATTGTGGTGGTTTCAGTTCTCTTTTATGGTGCATATGTTTAACATGGTCAATAACGGCCTCAAGAGTAAGATAATTGAAGCAGCAGAGGTTGGTATTCCGCTTAGAGGGTACACTTCATGAGCCCATATGAAAAATGATGATACTCGATAACAATGTTAACAGTGTATGGCAAACATTAGGTTCATAGGCCATGACCATGGGATGCTGTCTATTCACAGTACTTACTATAGATCCCACGGTATTTACTGAGAATGGACTGTTTCTGTACTTTGTAACAAAGTTTTAAATATAAAGCAGAAGAAATGTGGGGGTCATCCATGATTGCAGTGTATTGACCAAATATAATTCCTGAAGATGGAACATGTCTGAAGGGCTAATCCTCACTCTGTATGAAAACAATGATGATAGTGATGATAGTAATAATAATAATAATAATAATAATAATAATAATAATAATAATAATAATAATAATAATAATGTCCTTTTAGCAATTCAACTCGTACAAAACTCTTATGAATGTCTACGGCCCAAATATGGACAATTTTTGCATTAACCACCCAAACCAATATTTAATCTTTTAAAAACCTCAGTAAACTGAAACCTGAAAATACTAATGTTTTTTTCACTTATGCCATTATGAATTTTGACACTCCAATTGATGAACATGTATACTTAATAATTTTTTCCAAAATCTATTCAAGCACAACAAAAAGATACTGTAATAATATAAAAAAGAAATTAAAGTATTTAAGTCTTTAATTATTTGTTTTGAATATGTACTTTGTCAGAGTTTATAATCTACCTCTCTTTCACTAGTTCAAAACAAGTGTTTAACAGATGGGATACATGTAAGTGAATTATGGTATATTTCCTGAAGAGTATAAAACACATACCCAGCTTTTCATCAAATAAAAACAACATACAAGTACCAATAGGTCTATAATGTACAAGAAGAAACTACATCAGTCAATTAGCTTTATGAAAATAATTCTAATATACAATTACATTTCATTGTATTAAAAAACCTTTATAACAAACATTCGGTTCAAAATGTTTACCATATTATTGTATTGTACAGAAATTCTTTCGACTAAGGATGAAGACCATCATGAACACACATCAGAATAATTAAGCATGAATGTGCAAATAGGCAGGCAATCCTCAAATGAAATACACACACCATAAAAAACAAATGTAAAATAACATTTTTTACTAATTTGTTGTGATGGAAGCAGATGACCATCAAATTTAATACTCAATACTTCAATAAGGTTTTAAAACCAAGCGAGTTTCAATAAATAAGTCCAAAGAATACCTCTAGAAGTAACAGTATGTACAAGATGAGGCTATACTTTAAATTAAATGGAAATTGAAAGGAATTAATTTCAAAGTCAAAAGCTATTTAATAAATAAATTAATATCTTCAAGAATTTCATTTCATATTTGCCCTTTGAAGTCAACATAGATTAGAACATATGTATCGACAAAGATAATATAAAAAGCTGAACATTTCTTTTAAGTATGGATTGTTTTAATTATCCAAGAGTTACTCAATATAAATATTTTTCTGAACAACCTTCAGTGGATTGATCCACTGAGAAAAAAATACTTTACCTCAAATACTTTTAACAAAATTAACATTCACCTCAGTCATACCAAACTATAACAAAATATAAAGATTGAAGACTAGGCCTTTACGAGCAAAACAAAGATAAAAATAACAAAGGAGCAATACATTCTAGACAGTTCAAAAATTTGATCTATTTTATCTTATTAAAATCTTAACCATTAAATACTTATAGTATAATAAGCAAGGAATGAAAAAATTGGAATTTTCTAGTAAAAATTTAATTTCATACAATTCATATAATTAAAATATTTACTACAAATCTGAATTGCACAAAATAAAAAGAATGTGACCCTGGTTGTCATGGTATTATGTAACCCATGCATATTACACACATAGCACCGTAACACAAAATATTAAATTTATATTAAGCATTAAGAGTGAATTGCACTTTTCAAATAGCGTATTTTACATTGATACATAATCATAGGTCTCCATAAAAACATTGAATTGTTTACATTACTTGATAACTGTGGCTACACACAATTGTCTACAAAACACACATTCTTCCTTCAACATTAACCGTGATTAAATAATAATAATAATAATAATAATAATAATAATAATAATAATAATAATAATGATAATGTCAACTTGTGTACTAAATGTGTAGAATATATGAAGGGATATAATGTGCGGTCTAGGAATAAGTGAAACATTTTAACACTGGTTGCCATTTCTTGCTTTAGCTTTACACGAACAGAAATTATTTCTCAGCAAAACGTTTGCTGTACACTGTCAGAGGTAGTCTAAACCTTTTTGAAACACTCCAAATATATACAATACAAAAAAATTACTCTGTAAATTTTTCTACAATCCAAGTTTAATTGAGTATGTCATAGATATAAATAACCTACAATACTTCCAAATTCAAATCCATTAAACAGTCTAGAATCTATGGTTCATAAACCATTACAAATAATATGCGATTGACATTTTCTCTCTCACCAGAAATATCTATCTCCCAAGTCTTTGAATGGTACCGACTTTGTTCATACAGGGTTTAAAGCAGCTTCACGCAATGTTGGAGATAATACACATTGTGCAATTGTAATTCATAGTTTGCACTCTTCTTTATTGAGAGAAATCGAGAATTTCATCTAAAATATTGTATAAAAATTTGTTTTTTCACAAATCTAAAATTGTTTAGCTGTTATATTGCAGCTCATACTGTAAAATAAGATTCACCTTGCAGTGAGGTTATCATTTGTCCCAATTATTCAGTGTCTAAAAATGGTAGTCCTATTAATTATTTGCCTCAAGAGCCAAATTCTTCTGTGTCAGTTTCAATTGGCTTAAACTCAAAGGTTCCTCGACCATCCATTTGCAGATAATACTGGAAATAAATTTTATAATGTAAAATAATCTTGTAACAAATCAAATTTAACTCAACATTTCAAAGTACTGACTGAACTAACAACGTGCTTCAGTTTCATGGTACAATATTGTGGTTGCCTTAAAAAAAAAATTAACTTACTTCATGATGTTTCCAGAGTGAACGACGATGGCTCACTGTAAAAAGTGTAATTCCAACTTCTCTGCAATACTGATACATAGATCCTTCTACGTCAACACTAACAGCTGAAGTGCACTCGTCAAGAATTGCAAATTGTGGTGCATGATAGAACAGGCGAGCCATCTGTAAAAGAGGCATAAAATTATTCTGTGTGTCATATCTCAGCGAACTGCTTAAATGGACTATTTCCAGAGTTCTGTAGAACTTTGTAAGTACATGCTCCATTTAGAACATCTGAATGCTTTTCAATCAAAGATATTTTGAGATATGAACAAGCTACTTCATAATCATGGCAACAGCAAAAACAAGATCTTCATTTAATAATAATAATAATAATAATAATAATAATAATAATAATAATAAT